CCCAGTTGAGCCTCCCAGCCCAGCAATGCCGCCGCCAATCCCGCCCAGAAACTGCTGCCAAGCGGAACGAAGCGGAAGTACGGATCGGCATGCAATAACATAACCAAGGCACGTAGCACAAACACGGAACATTATATTGTATAAGCAGACTTCATTACGGTATTTAAACAGAATATCCACAAATTCTGACAGCCCAACTGGGCACCGTGGATCAAAGGCCCAAAATGGCAGTGGAATACCCGTATGTAGTACCGTTCGAGGAATCCGAAACTGCATTATTCGTATGCTCGAACAATACGCATATTCATTTTGAACAGATTCGATAACTATTCGGATCTCTATGGAAATCATTGGGCTTTCACGAAAAACAAAAGTATTAAAAATGCTATTTACGTTTCTTCTGCCTGCGTAATTGCTATGCGGTTGGAAAAATCAGCAGTTTTTCGTTTCAGACTGGCTTCATTGCAGGCCTCATAAATCGAATGATGTGCTTTCAGAAATTCGCCATTATTGCTTCATCATTTCGGGTACGATAATTAAAACTTTGCCAGAACTGCGTGCGAAAAAGGAGCCTTTTCAGTTCGCATTCAATGGCAAATGAAAATAGAAAGCCCGTAAGTGGCAATGTTATTGGAAAACTTGCCAAACTGCAAACATTTTGACAGCGAAACTTTTGCATTTCACCCATGGTGCTTGAGGGCGTGCCAGGATCCACATACCCACATCAAAAGTCAAATTGTGAGCAGTGGAGCATGGAGTGGAACTATCTAGAGGACCGCAAGTCGGTCCAGGTTCGCAAGTCTTGTAAAAAATGCATCACGTACTGCGAAGGTTGGCGTCCGACTCCTGATTTTCGATTCCCGATTCCCGATTCCCGGTGCCTGGCAATGTGATTAGACCCCAGGCACACTGAATGCACAAACTTTTCCGGCGGAGAGCGACGGCATGCGGGGATTCCACACAGACATCCGTGCGGCTGCGGCATATGCTGCCTGCGGCCAAAAGTACGGATGGGCAATAAAAATTTGTCGCCAGGCCAATAAATGTAGACCATATCCAAAAGCCAAGAAGCCACGGCGCGGAAAAACTAGCCGGCAAAAAAACCCCCACCATTTCATTGCTGTATTTAAAATGCCGCAAAACTTGCCACCCACGAGACCCCAAAAAAAGGGGACACAATGGAAAACCAGGTGAGACAAGCTGACTCCGGGCTCCGGGTCGGGCTTCCCTGCTTTTTGGCCGTGCGCAAACAGATTTGAAGTAATAAAAAATTGAAATTAAAAGTTCCACTTCAGTTGACCACTTGGCCTCTTGGTCGCCGCGAATGGGACACAGTTTTCACACGAAATAGGTCGTAAAAATTATGAGAAAATCCGCGAGTGCCAGAGATGCCGGCTAATCCAGGCCATTACTTCATTTACTTAATATAGGTAATATTAACCGATCGATGTGTAATTAAATCAAGTGAAATTGAATAAAGTGAAATGAAAAGTGCTGAAGCAATTGTCTGTCATAAGTTCTGAATTTTTGTTGCCGACTTTAAAATATATTTTAAATAATATATCAAAATATCTAGACTCAAAATAAATAGGTATAAGATTATTATTTTTTAGTCTTTTTCTATAGGTATCTTTAAATTTGGTCTCTTTCCGCGGCTAACATCTCTGACATCCGCCTAAGGTAAACTTGTTCTAATAATACCGCCCCTTTTTGTTATCCACTTCAGCTGGCTGCTCAATGAGGTCAATGGGCAGCCATTTCATTTCCATAATTTTCATTATTTCGCGCTTAGAGCAAATCAAACAAATCGTTCCACAGGAACAAAAGAAATTTTAATTGTTTGTGCGGCCTTGTCAGTTATCAGTTGTGGCAGTTGGCGTGTATATGTGTCTAATCAAAATTGCTGTGCACACACATTCAGCATATTTCACACATCGTAGCTGACAGAGAGCACATAAGAATAATGTGCGACACGTTCGGGCATAAACCGAATTAAGTATACGCCGCGTTTGCCAGGCGGAGGACCTAGAGTCGAAATGCCGGACTCCAAGCCGCAAGAACCAACCACACACACACGTAAACACACTTTACGCCAAGTCGCATCTTTATGCGTTGTAGCTGCTCCAAAGTGGCAAGCAAACACCCCACTCTGCCCGCAATTTCGCCAGCCGGCAGCATGTGCTAAATATGTATGAAAAAAATAAAATAAAAAATGAAAAACTAGAAGAAAAGTGTGGCGAAAAGTTTTTGTGCACTCGCCGTGGAAAGGCCAACGTCTAAGTGAATTTGCCATAGTCAAATTTTGTGCGGCTTGCCTTAGGTCAGGTCTGCGAACTACGGGTTACCGAACACGGGCTTACGGAGTAGCAAAGACGGACTCGAATTTTCCGGGCAGAAGCACACAAGTGCCGGTCGCGTGCGCTGCATGAAATTTGCATTCATTTCTGCTCGGCCAAAAGCTCAATTCAAACAATTTTGGCCCGTCGCCGCACAATAAAATCCCCAATCTCGAAATTATTAAAAATTTCAAATAAATCAAAAATTTGACCACCATCCCCTCGCTCCACTGCATTCTCCTTATTATTTCTTTTTTCTTTTTGGGGCTTGCCCCACCGACAGCAGCTGCCGGCAAACTTCGTGACCGACTGCCACCGAGTTCAGTGTGTCAATCGAACTTCAACCGTCGGCCGACGGCTTTTCACAGAGAAAAGCGCTGACAAAAGCGCGCGGATGCGCCGTGCAGTGAGTGGATTCGGAAAAGTCTCAAGAGCAAATGAGTGGCGCCTCTGAGTGGCACTCGTATCCTTCGGGACAAACTCATGGGACGCCAAATGTTCAGGCAGCGGCTGAAATGAAAACAGCAAGGGCATGGTTGCAAGTTCTACTGCCACCACAAATTCACCATGGAACGAAATTTTACATAGGCGATTCAGGAACCTTTGACTGCACTTCATACTAACGTTTACATGAAGCTTTTAACGGCTAAGTTTTGTTTTTAATGGTATTAAACTTTTAAGTTCTAAATCTATAAGCAATATTACATATTAATTTGTATTTCCCAATGGCAAAAATAGTTAGAGATTCCCTATATATACATATTTATTGCATTTGAGCTGCTTTATCCTTTTGTTATTTCGTGGAAATACAGAAATCATTTGATCATTAGTGGGGATAAAAAGCAACAGCATTATCCAAATTGAATTTTAAGTTGAAGTATTTCCAACTTTTCAAATTGACCCTCTGTTCTCCGACGAAAACACTTAAGCGGCAACTGGTCATTGACTGGGCGGAAGGATCTCGCGTCCTTTGGAATCCTTTAAAACGCCTCCGTAGGCTCGACAAGACGCTAAGATGTTTGCTTAGCTGGCAGGAGACTTTAAACTTGGGGGAATTTGCATACATTAGGGGTGTTTTGTTATTTTGTTAGCAAAGGCAATTCAAATCCTTTTACTTCCGCTTTAGGCAGCAGCGAGTACGGCAAAAGACAGATGCGACTGATAGCAGGATTCACATTCGCACCACCGCCCCTCCGGTTTTCCTGAACCCCCCGCTCCACTAGTTTTCCCATCCGCATTTAACGGTGACGCGTGCGTTGCGTAAAAAGAAAAATATGATTACATATTGTTGTATTTTGAAAAGCCGGCATAAAGAAGTAAAAAAGGGTTGACGTTTTTCTGAGGCTATGCCAAAAAGCGGAGCCCAACCACTCAGAGCCAATCAGCTCCAACTGCCTCAAAGCACAGGAAATAATTTCAATCGGCACAGAATATATTTCTGAGGCAAGCCTCGCAAAAACGTTAATTGCATATCTGCAGGAGACAAAGCAAAAATATTTCTCAAGGTAAAAATATAACTTCGAATATACAGTTACAGGTACAGGTAATTTTCCTCAGTGCAGACAACTGCCAAACAAATAGCCACGACAAGAGCCAAAGCGACAACAAGGCCAACAATGGCGGCATTCAATTTTTAATATTTGCCTTGCAAATTTTGTATAAAATGCATTTGTTGTCTACAAGCCTCCACGCCCCCATCCCCCGGGATTACCAGACCCCCGCCCCTGAAATTGGAGGGCGGAAGAGCCGGAGACCGATGACTGGCGGAGGGCACACTATCGCCCAATAGCCCCAAAAAGCTGGAAAACTGGCAACAGGAAGCAGCCAGCGCCGGGCCAAAGTGGGAAAGTGAATGGAGCACGGCAATGTCAACACATGGAAATTGCAAGGACAACGGCAAAAAAAAGGAAAACGAGGAAAACGGGGAAACCGAAAAGGAAAACGAGTAGCAGCAGCCACAGCAACTATAAACCGGAATGATATTGCCAACGAACATAGCACAGCCACACTGGAAACAATTTACCTCTTTAAAATGGAGCCATGTATCTCACTGTGATTTAAAATATCTAGATATCAGGTGAAAAGTATCTGAAAGCAGGCAACAATCTGTTTTGACTGCGTCGCTCCATCACGTTAAAGTACTCAAGATTAACGCATTTGAACGCATTTGTTTGCAGTGCAGGCAAAGGGCAAAAGCGCAGCTAGTGAACCCAGTAGGACCCCAGATAGCTCCTAGAACGAAGTTAGGCTGGGCCGGCGGAAGCAATAAATTGGTTAGGTAAAAAGCTTGTCGCAAACGCAGACACCGGTAAAAAGCGGCACGCGAGGCCGAGACAGGCCCGTAATGGTTGGCCCACCAAAAAGGCGGAGGCGGAGTGAAATAGTGGCGCCCAAGGATGGTTTATTTCCCATGAGGTTGCAAATTAATACTAAATGTCTGCCATGCAAACACATAATTGACTTTAAATTTGTTTTGACAAGAAGAAGTGGAAAACTTTGCAACTGCGATGGGTGTGGGAGAAACTGCAAGTTTTGTTTCCGACTTGAAACAACCAAAGTGTTTAAAATGGTTTCAAAATAGTGCAGCCTAAACAACCAGAAAGAGCGTTCTCTATACTAAAACTCTTTATTGCTTCGTCATAAAATGATAGGTATAGGTATAGGTATAAGGTGTATAATGTCTTCAGATGTTCCACCTGAGGCCTAGTTATGCACCTTCTTGATGGCCACGCTGGTTATATCGGCCTCCTTGAGCTCCTCATCCGTAGTGCCATTGTAGATGTGCTTCAGATACAGATTGAAGTAGTCTGTGTAGTTCATCGGCGTGGATATCTGATGCTTTCGAACCGGAAGCCGTGGCGAAAGGGACAACATGCTGGCCCACTGGCCATCGCAGAGGTCATCGTAGCGCAGCAGACCCACTTCGTGGCCTCCCAGATCGCCAGGACCTCGGCACATGGGTTGCTGTCCGTCCCACAGTTTCAGCACAAACTCCCGTATCCACCTGGCCAAGTACAGGGCTCGGCAATCGCAGTGCCAGGGATTCTTGTCCAGCTTGACGGCCACCAAATTTTCCAGGCCGTGAAGTGATCCGTGGGGCAGGAACATCAGCTTGTTGGAGTCAATGCGGCTGACAACAAATATTTCAATTAAAATAAGGGCAAAATATTATATGATATGAATATGACTTCAACTCACAGTTTTTCCAATTGTGAAAGAGGCTCAAAGGCGCGGGCATCGAAACTTTTCAGTATGTTATTGTTAAGCAGCAAAATCTTCAGGTTACTCAATCCCTGGAAGTCGTCGGCTTCCAAGGTTGTCAGGTTATTGGAAAATAGTGTCAAGCGTGTGAGGGCACTAACGTTCAGGAAAAGATCAGCCGGAATGCTGGACATGGAGTTCTGGCCCAGAAACAATTCATTCAGGTTATTCAGCTCCACAAAGGCATTGCCATCCATCTGTGGGAAAAGTGTTCGATAAAGTGCAATTAAATATTATGGCTATGCATACATGGCTTATTCGGTTCGTGGTCAAATCAAGGGTGACCAAATTGGCCAAATTATTGAATATGGTACCCGACAGCGAAGAGATGCGATTGTTATGCAGCGAAAGAGTTCGCAGGCTCCTTAGGCCCGCAAAGAAGTCATCATCAATCTTGGCTGGAAAAAGATAAGCTTGGTGGTATCGACCAGTTCCGTTTGATCCGAAATAGTTCTTACATATTTGGTTCCATCCAAAGTCCAGGGTCTTCAGCTTGGTCAGATACCTAATGCTGCCCGAACTGAGCTCGCTGATTTTGTTCCTGGACATATCCAGCTCCTCCAGCATTAGCTGATCTCGCAGGAGATTGGGTGGAAAGTTCTGGATCTGATTGTCGCACATATTAATCACGGTGAGCCTTTGGGCGTGGTAAAATATCGATTCGGGTAGCATGCCGATTTCGTTTTTGCTCAGATCCAGAATATTCAGATTTCGAAGCTTCCAGAAGGTGCGATGATCAATATCCTCCAGCTGGTTGTTTTGAATGCGCAAAACCAAGAGACTATCCAGATCCTGGAACAAATCGAAGGGCAGAAAATCGAGAACATTGTGTGATATATCCAACTCTTTCAGCACTGTCAGTCCTCGAAAGGTATCCTTGTGCAGGGTGGAAAGGATGTTCCGCGAAAGATCTCTAAGCGATTTTTAGAAAGATTTATATTTAATAATAGTCATTCGACTATTTGAAGGCTTTAACTAACTCACATGTTGACCATATTCATGGGTATCACCTGAGTGACAGGCACTGATTTGAGATTGGTATTCCAGCAGGTGAAGCTCTTGGTGTCCGGATTGCAGCGACACACACCTGAGGTGCAGTGATTCCATTCGATTTGGCTGCCAGTGGCCAAGTGCCAGACGGGCTGCTCCACGGATCGGAGGCGACTCTCGATCTGTCGCACCCGCTTCACCAGATCGAAATTGGCCAAATGAGACATGGCATTTATCTGCCCGCCATTGCCATCTCCATCATTATGGCCATTCGCCTTGGGCTTGTATGGCTTCTTATCGTTCGCAGCAAACTGGGTTCCATTTGGCATGGAGTTGATGAGCATCAAGAGCTGTGACACAATGCCCAGCGATTCACATGCATTCAGACTGCAGTTTCTTGTGTCCGAGGAGATGAGAGGGAGTAGGTACCTCTGCCGGAACTCATCCAGACTCTGGATGGGCAGCTCCTTTGCCTGTGAAGATCCCGTGATCACCTCGGCCGGATCCATCAGCAAGATTAAACTGACCAATTGCCATACTCCCAGCGACATCTCTACAGCGTTTTCCAGCGACTTTCTGAGACGTCTGCCCTGAGCTGCAGTCCCATTTATAGTCCGCTTGATTCCGATTTGATTCGTAATTCGAATAATTTGCGAACATTTGCATTTACTGCAATTACGCTAAAGTAGCTCACAGCGCCACATGGGAGCCGGCGGATTGCAGCGCATCTTGCGGTCGCCCAGGCCTCACCAGATGGAGCATCTCGGCTCTCCGGCATCCGGCATCCAGAGGCCGGCTAGAAACCGAAAGTCTCTGTTTGGACGCGTAATGATCGACCAAGTGTCTAGTCGCCATGTCTAAACAATCAGCTGGAGAGCTCGGCTGGGGAACCCGCCTCTTAATTCGTTATCGTATTGGTCTAGTGCATCGTATAAACCATACATTTCCGTTTCAAATCCTGGTTAGGCACAGCTTATAGCTTGACGCTTAGGAATAATGTTTCTATAAAAATAAGATTGTAATGCACACAAGCAAGCAGATTATCATTAATAAGAATGTGCCCCTTTTTTAGGCATTTTCGCTTATTTTTTCAAGCTATAATTATGGTTATAAAATCTGAATGTCTTTAAGGCTCATAATTACGTGTAAATCTCACTGATGTTTTGATTTAGATAAACAACAAGAGACAGACGTATCCATGGGGTGTCGCAGAAATGTCACTGAAGCTAAACAAAGTGTTCTCACTGTTCAAACTCGACTTTCGTCCTTCGAACTCGCTTCTTGTGCCTCAGAATCTTCGAATTTTCTCCACTTTCCCAGACCTAGGTGTCGCATGAAAACTTAGCTTGTGCAACAAAAAACGTTTTTTTCGAAGCTGTTTAATTTCGACTTTAGTCCTTCGGACCAAAGTGATAAAAACAAAGGCTTTTGCAAATACTCCAAGTGCAGCATAAATGCAAAAATTTATCAAATTCGTGCTCATAAGTGCTGTGCTCAAGTAAATAAAATAACCTTTTTGCCTGTTAAGTCCGATGAAGTGTGTCGCCAGGAAACCAAATTAAATTAAAAGTTAACTAAATAAATAATAATCATACAAAGTGCTACTAAATTAATCTCGAGCTGTAATTAAATAATAATATATTATTTTGTCATAATTATATTAGTGAAATCCTTAACGTGAGTAGTAAAAATTGTCTTAAATAAAGCCTGAAGCATGTTTAACTTACTGTTGGAACACAAAGTTATCGCCGCTTTGAATATGTGCTTAGGAATCATATTTTCTTGTAGCCCTATAATTCCCAACTGGTTCTAGCGAGGACTGCAAGGCATGTCTTCTAATTTCCCCGTCGAGCAGTGAGTGTAGTGTATGTGTAGTGTACGCACCGGAGTATGTATGTATGCACGTATGTACGTATGTAAGTATGAACGATGTATGTCTGCACGTATGTTTGTTTGTATGTTTGTTTGTATGTTTGTTTGTATGTATGTATGTATGTATGTATGTATCTATGTATGTATGTATGTATGTATGTATGTATGTATGTATGTATGTATGTATGTATGTATGTATGTATGTATATATGTATGTATGTATGTATGTATGTATGTATGTATGTATGTATGTATGTATGTATGTATGTATGTATGTATGTGTGCATGTATGTATGTATGTATGTATGTATGTATGTGTATGTATGTATGTATGTGCATGTATGTATGTATGTAGTGTATGTGTTACTTGCACAAAGTAGTAAAAATTGTCTTAAATAAAGCCTGAATAATGTTCAAATTACTGTTGGAACACAAAGTTATTTGGCGCTTTTAATATTTGTTTAGGAAACATACTTTCTTGTAGCCCTATAATTCCCAGCTATTTCTAGTGAAGACTGTAAGGCATGTCTTCTAATTTAGAGTCACAAAATATTTCAAGTAAGCTCTCTTACCGGTCGAGCAGTGAGTGTAGTGTATCTCTGCTTAAGTGTGATTACTCGCAAGATCACATTGGCTTCCCTCTTGAACAAATAACCAGGCATATGTTATTCATACAAGTGTTTGAAATGTTATAATATTTATTTTAAAATATTTATTCATAAAAAATATATAAATATAAAAAATAATAATATAAAATAAAATATAAAATTCTTGTTAAGAAATTGATTACCCTACACTGAAAGGGATATATATTTTTATTTTTATTCGTATACAAAGTGCTACTAATTTAATCTCGAGCTGTAAGTAAACAGGTTTGCAAAGGCTTTTGCAAATACTGCAAGTGCAGCATAAATGCAAAAATTTATCAAATTCGTGCTCATAGGGAGACCAAAAAGCACGTGCAAAATACTAAGTGCTGTGCTCAAGTAAATAATAATCATAATCAAATTCTGAAATTTTCAGCGTATATTTTTCTTTTTTTTCTCAATCTGTCCTTTTTATTCAGAAAAATATTGGCATCACTGGAATCACAAGGGAAATTAATAAGGGTTTTACTGAAGGCTGTTCAACAAAAAAAGTTGTTTTCGAAACTAGAATTAAGGCCGTAGTATTTAAATCGAACCCCCAGATGGCGCCAAAAAATGGTTCGCGAATTTGCTAAAGAGCTTTTCTTTTTAAATTTTTTTTTTTTTTTTACCTTTCTGACATATGTATGTTATGGCGGGACATGACAGGACATAGCGAGAAATGACAGGACATGGTGGGACATTTCTTTCGTTTAACCATACGATTTTATTTGTGAACTACAACGTTTATAGGTCATATGTATGTATGCAGTATGAGACTAAAAGCTCTTCCTGGACTGACACCTTTCGAAAGCCAACTCGATGGGTCTCACGCACAACCTTTCCGCCACTTCTTTGTACTTGGTCAATAGACTCTGGGGATAGGGCAAAGCCCGCAAATCGTCCACGTAGTTCATATGCATGCGCTCCAGTTCGCCGGGTAGTCGGATGGGTTCCGACTTGTCTGCCGGCGGGCTATTCTGTATGCGACCACAAAAGTCATCCAAACGTTCCATGAAATTGGGCAGGAAGAATTCTGGATCGAGAGCAATAAATACTTGACCCAAGTTCGCCGGATTGTTCTGGTCCAATGATATGTGAGTGCCGTATTGGGCACCAGAGAGCACTCCACATAGAATATCTATCACGGCTGACAGGCAGTAGCCTTTGTGGCCACCAGCAGGAAAGAGTAAAGGTGTCCTCAGCGCCAAGCTGGGAAAGCAGGTGGACAAGCCTCCCTCATTGGCCGCCCAGCCATGCGGTATATACTCATCGTTGGCCCAAGCCCATTCCACGGCTCCAATGTCCCTCACGCTGGTCGCCATGTCCAGAACAAAATGGTACTCCTCACCCCGTACGCAGAAGGCAAAGCTGTTGGAGCCAATACTGGCGGACTTTGAGTTGGGACCCATCATCGTAGGAGCCGCGTTGGACATCACGATTCCGGCTAATCCCCTACTGGCAGCGCGAAATCCAAACCAGCTGGCCATGCCGATGTCATGAGATTGCTGGGCTACCACGAAACCGATGCCAGCGTTTTCAGCTTTCTTCACCGCCAGATCCATACAGAAGTTTCCCACAAAGACACCCAAGGCGGAGTTGCCATTCACATGGGCGGTGGCCACCGTTTCGCTGATTATTGAAGGCTCCGCGTGCACCTTGGCATGTCCACGCTGCAGATCACTGAGGTAGTAGTCCAGGCGATTCAGACCGTTTCCGTAGTTCCCTCGATAATCCGCAACAACCAGGAACTCGCTGATGCAGCGCACCTTGGAGGGCGAGACTCCGACCCGCAGCAGGCAGTCCTGAATGAAGCGACGGGCCTCGTCCACCAGAACCAAGGACGTGTCGCCCCGCTGCTGCGAGGAGGCGGCAGGCATGTGGTAGCCACGAAGGCAGCTTCCCAGCCACAGAGCTGGCTGGAGGAGCGCCAACATTGCGTAGAGCTGATTTTCATCCAATAGAAAGCTATGGCTGGGGTTGCTATGAGTATATATATTAACGGAAATGGCAAACAGGTTTAAAAATTACTCTTACAAAGGCGTTGTTGAATCGACTTTAAATAATAATGATATCCACAGAAGGAAATAGGAGTTTAAAGAAATTCAGTTTTTTCTCTTCATCGGGCACTTTTAAAAAATAATTAAAATATTGAAATTGCATTTTGTTAAATCACTAAGTGTTTTTTAAAAAGAAGAGGAGTGATTATTGGGAGTAATATATAGGATATACTAGATGTCTTGTGCTTAGCACTTAGTTCAAGGCTGTGGAGGTCAACACTGCCACTCCTCTCTCGTAGAAGCTATGCGAATCCTGTCCTGCTGCAACGGCCAAGTCCACAGTGAAGAGTAGCTCTGTACGCGTGGAGTTCAAGTAAACCGGCAATGTCAACTTGCTGATGCGTGGCTCCGAGGAAATCCTATTAAAAAGTGAAACATTAGTACAGAATAATGCAGTTGCCCAAGAAAGTGGACTTACTTAATCCACTTGAGTATGGTGACTGGTAGATCCATCATGATAGTGGAAGCCAGCAGCAGTTCATTGTTCTTGCACTGGGCGCCCTGCAATTTGAGTCCAGTGACCCCGAAGCAACAGTCCTTTTGATCGGTCTTTAGGCCAGCATCCGTAATGGTCACATCCAGTGCCAGCTCCTCCAGCGACCAACTGTTCGCCTGGGCCACGCACTGCCTGGTGGCCGTGATGTAGGCCTCCGGATTGAGCAGACCGCCCAGCCAGACGGGGAAGCCCTGCAGCTCCTTGGCGCCAGCCTGCGAAACAAGTTGCGACACCTTCTGCAGCTGCTGGACACGGTTGCTGAAGTCCGTGATCCATTGGATCACTGTGCATCCTGCAGGAACAGTGTACCGCTTCCAACCCTTCGGGATTATGCCGCGCACTAGCTCCGACAGCATGGAACGGTGGTGGTTGGTCTGTTTCTTCTCGCCCTGACAGATTAGAACCACATCCTGCAGGTCCAGGATCACTGTTTGCAGCAGCCGGGAGCCACTAGTCACCTCGCGCTCGAAGTATCGGTACAAGGGATCCTTGATGTTCTCCACAGTGC